TCCCTCTATTATTACGGGATTAATAATATATATATATTTTAAACAAAAACATTCATAAAATTGTATTTGCAAAGGACGAAATTTTATTTATAATAAAGCTAGATAAATATGCCTTCTTGCTTTATAATCTCTTCTTTTAAATTAAAAAAAATAAAATTCACATCGTTCTTAAAAAAACATTTTAAGAGTAACATACACGTCTTTGAAAACATAACACTGGTGAAGTTTATATAAACAAAGCATTTTTTTAATTAATTCGACTATTTTTATTTACATTTTTGTGGTTCCTTTAATTTTATTAATGGAAGCTCCAATCGTTAATCCGGACGGCATTTTGTGCGGGATTACGAACCGGCGCTTACAAGATGACGAGAGAACGTGTAGATCCGCTCTGAGAAAACAAACATGAGCTGCATGCATCTCTATTTTGTATGGTTAAGACTCAGTGAGATATGAAAATAAGGGAAGCGGGCGGGGGTTGGAGGGGGGGGGAGGGGGCATAGAGATGAGAATTTAGGGAGAATGTGGGGAAATAAAATACCGATAAAATCAAGTTATGTTTGTGATAATGTGTCTAGGTTTTTGGAATCGATACCGGATCATGATGGGAGTATTCGCCTTAGCTGTGTTGTAGAATCGATACCAGAATACTCGCTGGTGACGGGGTAATGCTGGCGAGGGGGGTATAAATATATTGGAGAGAAAGAAATGTCTAGATTTATAAATCAATAGAATTCGTAGCTCTATTCGGGTTTTAGAAGAAAAAAAAAACATTATTTGATTATTAGATCGTTTATTGGTGTGATCGATGGTTCTTAAGAGCGGGGTGGTCGAGTGATAGAGTGCATACATATATCTACTGTTCGGTTCCTTAAACCTCTGCGAAGTTTTTCAAATAAAGTAGAGTTCATCTGTTTCAAATATCTCGACATGTATATCGTGATAATGTGGTCACTGCTATACTGAGCTGCCTTAGTTTTTTTCTTACGTGGGTCAGTTACCCATTATGGCAGGGTAGACTCGGGGAAGTCCTATGGACCCGAGTCCAAACTCGAGACATTAATAAAACAAGTTAATAAAAAGTCTAGTGACAATTTAAGCGCAATTTCCTTATGTTATCTAAAAATAGATATGGGGTGCGTTCAAGCTAGGAGAACGATCGGTTTGTAGGTGTTTATGTAATTTTAAAAAAAAAAATTGTGACCGAACGAAAGGATATTTTTGAAAACTTTCTTCGGCAATATTGTTCTAAATTATAGCAGGAATCGATTGGTAAATGTTTCAAGTCGCTAAGTGGTCTGGTTGCCGAGATATGGGCAAAAAACTGCATTTTTTTTCGAGGTTTTTTTTTTTGGCTTTTCCGGGAAATCCAGGAAGGAATTCCGGGAAATTTTTTGGCCTATGTTCATCCTCGGAACTTGCTTAACATATTTGCTTTGGAACTAGTCCTCGATATTGCTTCGTTGAGGAGGAGATACGACTTAAAGCTGCGGACACGCTTCGGACACACATCCATCCATCCATCCATCCATCCATCCATCCATCCATCCATCCAGAAATGACGAGTTAATAATCGCAATCCCCCAGTATGGAAATTGCGCTAAAAAACATGGAATTTTTCACCAAAAAAATTAAGGATACGTCTCAACTGGTTATGCGCCATTGAGGCCATTGACTCCGATTCAGCCTGCTTTTTTTTTTATTTGCTTCCATAGCCTTCGCCAAACCAAGAACAAACTACAAGACTATTATATCGTATATTAGAAAACCTATACTAAACGTGAACACAATTTAAGCAACAATTGGGTGTTATTTTTGGTCAGGCCTATTCATATACCATGACAAAATCAACAGTCCGTCCCATCAGCAAAATAATGCGTCTAGAAGGATCATCAACATGTGATCTATCTAAAATTAATGCACTTTTCAAAAAAAAAAATTAGATAAATAGACAATCCATGTGATCTATCTAGAATGATTGGAATACAAAATCTTAAGAAAACACAACGATAAAATCAATTCCGTCTCTAGATCCTTTTCAGAATAAATATTTTTATGAAAAACAATATTGGAAAAAAAAAATCACAGCGCTTGTTCATCAAACATAGTTGTGAATTTTTTTTTAAATTTCCATCAATTTTATATATCTAATTTTTTAATTCGTCTAATTTTTTTTTTTTTTTTTTTTTTTTTTTTTTTAGGAAATATGTATAATCATAATCATAACATTTTTATTTACTCATGTATTTCACTTTGCCTCAGACAAGTAATTTCCGTGGTCAGTTTACTTATCCTCGGTGTTCTGTTTTGTATTCGTCGTCTATAATCGCTTCAATTTTCAGATCATCCTAAAAGATGACAGGAATACGGATCTATTCTCTCGGCTTCTAGTTATCGATAACACCGGTTTACAAAAATAGACAGTCTCGTTCTGTCTCGACAAAAATCTCACCCGAACTCTCGAGCCCAACGAGACTTTTAAGGGCTCTTGTGCTTAGGTCTGCGCATGCGTGTGTAATGTGCCAGCGAACCGAAAATGGCGGACTTCTTTGACCTATGGGTAGGGTCGTTTGGTCAGTGTAAAAATAACCAACATTTATGCTACCCGTTTTTTTTTTTTTTTTTTTCCTTTTTACTTGGGTTGTTTTGGGTTTTTTTAATGTCACTTATATAAGTATCCCACATGATAATAACAAAGACGATGATAAAATAAAGCATAAAGTATTTAAAAAAAAATCGAGCAGATGAAGCTCGTTACCTGGGGACAGCCACTCTTCTAGGAGAGACAACTCCAAAATCAAACAACTGCCGCCTTGTAGTTTGTTCTTGGTTGGACGAAGGCTATGGAAGCAAATCTAATAATTAAGTCAAATTGAATGTCACCATGCATTGTCTTCATGTCTTGACCCACGTACCAATTACGAACTGTATCTGTCAGTTAGAAGTGTCCGAATTTTCGCTCCGGCGTTTCGATCTAGACAGACTGACGGCAGACAGAGGAAGTGAGTGTAATAAAAGCTTGTAAAAAGAAAAGCAAGCTGTAATCGGAGTCAATGGCCTCAATGGCGCATAACCAGTTGACACGAATACTTTAGTTGGAGGGTGTCCCTTCCATCCCTTCCAACACTAAAAAGTAAAGATTCATATTTAGACCTAGCGATCCACTGTGTATTGACGGAAAGGGGGGGGGGCTGATTTCGATTTACAAAGCAAAACGTGTTTTTACCGACGATACATTTAATTAAGTCGTCAAACTAATTAGATGTACGACTTCCAATAAAACGTTTCTTCGGTCACGTGACGGGTTCGTTTAGTAAAGGTGGTGGTGATGGGTTACTGAATAAATTCAATTTTATCCGCAGACCTATTTTCGGTGGCTCTATTGCTCTATGGTGTTTGAGCCATCGCCGGAAAAATAGAAGGGGGCAATAGGTTACGTGTATCTTAAGCGTCAAACCTCAACGATTCTCAATCAGTGGTATCGTCGCGATTGATCTGTCAATTCCCATGTTAAACTAAATATTTCGCTCTGCTGGTACATGGTTTGAGTTGATGTCTTGGTGCCGGTACCTCGAACAGCAGGTAGACTAGGATAATGTTCCGCAGTTTTGTCACTCTGGCCTATCTATGTTAGCCTATGCAGGGGAGAAATTAATAAAGCATTTTCTGCATTATCAATTTCTGTATACTAGAATTTTTTAAAATTTCCTTAGAATAAAATTGTCTACCAGGACTATCCTAGATTTCATAATATCTTCGGATAATATTTTGAATCATTTTAAAATAATATAAAGTTTTTATTTAATGTAACTACTTTTAATTTTTATATTAGAATTTTTTCAAAATAATCAAATAATTTTTATTATATACACATTTTAATACATGTAAATATATAGTTTATAATATAATGACTAACTGTATTGATTGTGTCACCACATTTGATTTTATTTCTTGGGTCAATTTTTTAAATTTTCTTTGCAAGTTATTTCCCTTTGTATATTATTAAATAAACGTGGGAAATAATAAATGTCTATCAGCAAAACTTTTCAAGTAAAATTTAAATGATTCTGAAAAGTATATTAAAAAAATAAGATTTCCACGGTAATACATTTTCATTATGCATATTAAATTATATTATTAATTGAATGAAGAGACTAAAAAAGGTTACAATTATTTAACGACACCATACCATAGTAAAAAAACATAACATGTTTTGTCACCTGTTTTTTCTTGAAAGTAGTTTTTATTGCAAAACTATATATATATATATATATATCAGGGGCGTAGCGAGGGGGGGGGCGGGGGGTGCGGACCGCACCGGGTGACACCATTTAGGGGGGTGACACCAAGGCAAAAAATAGCAAAATATATAGAGAAAAACTCGAGGGGGGGGGTGCAAATCGAAAGTTTGGAGGGGGGGGTTGCAAATCGAAAACTCGAGGGGGGGGGGTTGCAAATCGAAAGTTTGAGGGGGGGGTGCAAATCGAAAACTCGAGGGGGGGGTGCAAATCGAAAGTTTGAGGGGGGGGGTGCAAATCGAAAACTCGAGGGGGGGGGTGCAAATCGAAAGTTTGAGGGGGGGTGCAAATCGAAAATTTGAAAGTTTGTCCCTGGGAAGGGTCTCTATGCCTCTGGGGGGGTGACACCATTAAGTGCCGCACCGGGTGACACCCGACCTCGCTACGCCACTGATATATATATATATATATATATATATATATATATATATATATATATATATATATATATATATATATATAATTTTTTATAGTATGGTAACCCTGTTTCGAATTTCCTTCGCAAAGACCCTGGGCTACAATTATTCAATTATTTTCCAAAGAGTTTCGACTCAACTGACCATACAACACCCGTTTCTCTTACTGCAGGCTTGATGTCCGTGCACCCTCCCCCCCCCCCCCCCCACACCCCAGCGTTACCCAACATCTTGCACTACTCTCCCCCTGTGTCTAACACCCCCTTTGTGTTTGATCCACTTGCAGGTGGAGAGAGAGATCGCCATCATGAAACTCATCGAGCACCCGCACGTCCTCGGCTTATATGATGTGTACGAGAACAAAAAATATCTGTAAGTATTTGTGGATTAACGAATTAGTAAGATTAGTGGATTAGTGAGATTAACATGTAAGTATTTGTGTCAGGTAGTGGATTAACGAATTAGTAAGATTAGTGAAATTAGCATTAAACGGCATGTATAAAATGTATGAAAATTTTTAAAAATCTGCATGTTTATCAACTTGTGGAGTAATAAATTAATAAGATTAATGAGATTAACATTAAACGGCATGAGAACAAAAAATATCTGTACGTATTTGTATCAGGTAGTGGGTTAACGAATTAGTAAGATTAGTGGATTAGTAAGATTACCATTTAACGGCATGCATGATGTGTATGAGAACAAAAAAAATTTCTAAGTATTTTTATCAGGTAGTGGATTAACTGAAGTAATAAGATATGTGGATTAGTGAGATTAACCAATAACGACCCACAAATCTCTAAAGCGCATGCCAGTACGTGTTTAAAGAAAATTGCTAAGCATTTCTATCTACTTAATTAATGAAAATAGATCGAAGCTTACCTGTCATGGGCGATCGGACTATTTCGTTTAGGGACTATTTTCTTTTGACAAGGAAACTGCGCAATATTTTATCGCAGTTAGGCTTTTTGGGAGGTGAAGACTGTCATCCTTTTTTTTATTTTTCGCTAATTTTCCGAGTTTCTTTCAGTTATCTTTTAAGGAGGGGGGGGGGGACTGCCGAAGCATGTATATGACCTTCTTATATCCTCGGACGAAGTAAAAAAAAAAAAAATATATATATATATATATATATATATATATATATATATAGTTTCTATTTAAAAAATGTACACTTCAACTTGTGCCCCCCCCCCCTTCTCACTCTTTAACTTTTTAATGCGCACCCCACCCCTGCCCGCACTGCGGGAGAAAAATGTCTGAAAGAAACCTTGTTAATATCCAAGTTCCCAATAACCAGGCTTCAATGTATGTTGTGTTGTTGTTTCCGGGGGGGGGAGGGGGGAGAAACCACATCATGGGCCGTAATCATACCCAAAACAAAAAACAATAGAAACTGCAGTAAATACACTTTACACTATAATAAATTGCACGGTCTACTAACGTTGAAGTACATTTTACAATTTTTTTTTAACAAGTTTTGATCTGAATGAAAAAGTTCAGCATCAATACCAACAGGACGGTAAAAACCTCCAAAACTTGACATTAACAGCAATACCGTGACGATTATGCACCTTTAGCAGTTTTAGATTCGAGAGTTTGATGCGTTAAACCGGAAGTCCGGAAGATGAATGCGTTCTAGATTGGCTGTCAAGATTCATCAGTTTGGTCGATATTGACAACAGTAGTGCTAGACTTTGAGGGGGGGGGGGGGGTTGTCGGATTCCGATGAGATTTTTATGTTAGCAAACACAGAAGTTCGTAAAAAAGTTTTTTTTTTGTTTTGTTTTTGGTTGGTTTGCTTTTTTTTTCTCTTTTTTTAGGCGGTGTGATATTTAGACGAGATAGCATCAAAATATTTGTATTGTGGTGGGGAATTGAAATTCAGTTCGACTTTTTGTATCGGTCAGTGTTTGGATTAAGTCTAGGGTCAGAACACCAGTTGGGGCTAGGATAATTCTATGGACTTTACTTTTTTTATTGCTTTTAGACTAAATCGATTGTAGGGTCGGGTTTTGAATTAGGGATAGGGTAGTGGATGAGTTCAGATCAGTTGTAGTATTAGTGTCATAGTTATTGTAAAGGATTACAAAAAATCGCAACTTTGTCTTGCCGTTTTAAAAAGTACGGCTGTGTTTGCTTGAGTTAGTGTATGGTCACATCTTTGTTGGTTTGTGTTGTCTATCTATTTTACTATAACAGAAAAGGGCCCTTAAACTAGCTCAAGTAGCCCAATACAACCACACTCCACCCCCACCCCCCACATCCCACCCTTCCCTTGCTACCCACTGCTAATTCAACTACAATCACCGATCATTTAACCTACAACTGTTGCCACATGTAAAAACCAACCCTGTACATCACATCCACGCCAACCTTATATGACCACATATAGAGTACAACCCACACAACCCGTTCTTCATATATAACTACATGTTAATTCACGCTAAGGAGTGACGTGGTCGGACGATAGCGCTAACTCTAACGTCTCGAGTTCGGATCCCGTGACTGTATAACGTCCATACGACCACCCAGCTATGTCGAGTACCTGATTGACCAAAACTTCTAACCACTCTACCTCCTATGTACGCCGAGGTCATAGAAACAGATCAACTCTACTTGATCTGCACCCGCGTTGCATGGCCACGAACCAGAAAAGATGATGACGACGATGATAATGCTGATTATAGTCATCCCTCTCCCCCAAACCCTATTCCCTGGTTAAAACAATAAAAAGCAGCTCTGTAATAATCTCATTCCTCTTTTGTTCACGAAATATTTCTTTTTTATTTCCTAGCTATTCCTTTGGGGCTTTCTCCTAATTTTCAGACCCCCCCCCATATCAGTGTATGATTAGGGGGGGGGGGGGTGTTTCATTCTGGACAAACAGAAATTCTTTATCTAAGGGAGAGAACTCCGGGTCTCATTGTGGCCACGATAACGGCCCTTGTTAATTAGCAATATGCCAGATTTTTTTTTTCTTTGAAGTTTTGATCCGTGTTCGATACTTATTATCACGAGGTGATTGATTTGTCGATGTGGTGTTATTTGTTTTGCTGGAAACATCAGTGTGATGTTACTTTATATGCTGGAAACATCAGTGTGATGTTACTTTCTAAGGTGGAAACATCACTGATGTTACTTTCTATGCTGGAAACATCAGTGTGATGTTACTTTCTATGCCGAAAACATCACTGTGATGTTACTTTCTATGCTGGAAACATCAATGTGATGTTACTTTCTATGCTGGAAACATCACTGAATTCACATCATACGGTAGAAACATCATTGTGTTGCTACTTTATATGATAAATAAATTACATTAGCTGACTTCTTACCTTTCTTGAAAACCACTGGGCTATAAAAAAAAATGCCTGTAAGTTTATCTTGATATTTTGAGACGCGAGTATATAGTATAGATGAAGATAAACAATGCTGTATATTTTAAGAACCAATGTGAACTATTTCTAGATAATGAAATGTTCAACTTTTGTATTACCTAGGGAAGTAGGCCTATATTAAAAAGGAGAAAACCAATTGAGAATAGACACTATGTTGTAAGATTGACTAAAACCCGCTTACTGTAGTATGTAAATAATACTAAGGTCAAACGAAGACACATAAGCTGAGAACCACTGCCCTATACAATACACGCACCTAATTAATTCCACTTGTTTTGTTTTGTATTTCCTCACCGAGTTTTTTTTTTTTTTTTATTTATAGACTCCGTTCCCACCCCCTCGTGGCTTTATTAGACCAGCAAACTCCAACAAAAGGGAGAGAAAAAATAAATTCTTTGTTCTAGTTTCGTAGTGATCAATGAAAGAGAAGGGGAAGTAACCCACACTCGCCATCTTCAATTTGCACGCGTTAGCATGCGCTGATGGAATTGTTACACAGAAGGGGGAGGTCACTCTCTGATCTTGATTAGCGACAATAAATAAAAATTATGAAAGACGATGGAAACCAAGAATGTGTTGGATTCAACAAGGGTAGCCGCCCCTTCGACACACTATTCTGCGTTTATCTCAATTACCCGAGGTCAAAAGGGGCGAATACTCTTTGTTTCAACAGACACCACTGCATTGTCTTACCCACTTAGTCATGTCAATCAACTTAACACAAGTGTGGCTGCTTATATATATACTAGCCGTCCCGGCCAGGCCCTGCTCTGGCTTCTGTGAAAAACCTTTGTGTTAAAGACCATTACCTGTGTGTTTAGTAATCATCATAAACCCGGCATTGCCCACCCAAACCACAACCAACCAAAAACAACAAAACGCAAACATAACGCTAACACAATTACAAATACAAACGAAAACAAAAACTTAACAACAAACACAACCACACCCACAAACACCAATACAAACACAAAGAAAAAAACAAACAAAAAGCAAACGAAAACAAAAACCTAACAACAAACCCAACCACAAACACCAATACCAACAAAAAAAAATCAACGAAAAAAGCAAACGAAAACAAACCAAATCCAAACGCAAAACCAACCAAAAACACAAATACAAACCCAAACAAAAAAAAAACACAAACAAAAACGAAAAAAGAAAGAACAAAAACGAACCAAATTAAAACGCAACCACTAACGCAAACCCACCTAAACACAAAGAAAACACTAACGCGAACATAAACGCCCGGGGCGGAATCACCTGTTTTAGCTTAATGAACGACTATAGTACCCCAACTTATTCACAGTCTTTTGCACTCACTTAAACGAACGCGCCTGTTTCAATTTAATAAACAATTTTAATACTCCAAGCTTATCCGTAAAATACCTACAACATTTGCACTTGATCAATCCCCGCTAATTATGTAATTATTTTTTTCCCAACACCAAAACAAAGTAATTAAAAAGTAAATTATTTTCACGGAATGCAATTGTTTTATAAAGGGAAGTAATTGTGTTTTTCCTAATTTATCAAAGGGAAGTAAGTGCTATAGGACTAAATAAAGACATAATTAGAATTTTTGTAAAAGATGATATTTTTTTTAAAACTTGTGTTCAATGAACATGCCGACAATTATTACTATAATTTGAAAAATGAAAATTATTTCCCAACACTTTCAATGGTAATTTTTTAGCTCATAAATTTAGACAAATGCGCACGATAATTTTTCTAACACTTAAAATCGTACAATTCCAACGACATACAAATGCATTACATACAGAACTGAGCTTTATATTATATATATATATATATATATATATATATATATATATATATATATATATATATATATATATATATATATATATATATATATATATATACATACACAGAGGCGTAGCTGGGGGGGGTCGGGGGGTGCAAATCGAAAGTTTGAGTGGGGGTGGAGTGCAAATCGAAAGTCTGAGG